AGTAAGGAGCCCTGCACCTCTGCTCTCAGTAAGGAGCCCTGCCCCCTCTTCCACCATTGTGAGGGACGATGATGCCCCTTCTCCTTTCCTCTTTGAAGACCCCTATGTCCTTCACCTTCTCTTTAAGGGACCCTATCCCAAGCTTCACTTCTGTTGGAGTCTTGCCCTTTAAACTCTTTTCTTTGAAGGATCCTGCCCCTTCCATCTCTGTGAGGGGCCCTTTCTCTCCCCACCTCTGTAAGGCTCCTGACCCACTTCGCTTACTTTTTGAGGGGTCCAGCCCTTTCCTCCCTTCCTCATACCTGGCGACAGCGACCCAGTCACCAGCTGGTAGAGGGATCGCGCTGCCTGCCCCAACGGGCTCCGGCACCTGCGGGGGCATCTGTTCATGGTCCTGCGGTGAGCACAGAGGTCAAGCTCCGCCCCCAAGGCCCGGGGCGTTCTGATCTCCGCCCCCAACGGAGTGGGCCCTGCGTGGGCGGCGCGGGAGGGCCGGACCCATAGGACCAGGATCTCAGGCAGTACAGCCTCGTTCCGCTTCCCGTCTTCTCCCGGCCACAAGAGGGGAACTCACGCTGGCCCCAGCGCCTGAAGAACCCGCCCCGCAAATTCCCAGACTCGGGCGGGGCGGGGCCGGGGGGTAGGGGCGGCACGGACTCTCCCTCACAGCCTTCGCTGGGAATATTTTCTGAATTTCCGGTGGGGAAGGGGGCACCCACTGTTTTTGAAAAATGAGCTGGAGAGGGAATGAACATTATCTTTCATTGCCCCGCTTCACCCCCTCATTCTCTGCCTGTCACACCCCTCCTCTTCCCATTTTGACACAGAGATGCGAAGGGGTTTAGACGACCTAGTTGTCATGGCAACTCCCCACACTTCCATACTTCCTGGACCAATGGGCGCGAGAGTAGGAGGGAAGAGGAGGAACTGACCAGTGTATTGGAGTGACAAAGGGGCTGCAGGGACGTGCCCCTACTGGTCTGTCTTCTGGCTCTGAATATCTTTTTCTTGTAACTGTTTTGTGTCCCTGTGTCCTGGTCCGGCGGGTTCACACTCTCCCCTCATATGCCGATTGTCAGCCAGATGCATCGAGGAGAAGCCCCCCTACCCACAGTCCTGGCCCTGGACTCATCCCTATCGGGTTATACCCAAAGTAGTAAGCCCTTCCAGGACCCACTAACGCCTTTAAACTTCCGACAGAGCCTATGAGGATCCCACTCTTCCGACTGGGATCCCGTATTTTTGGCTGAAAATCCTACATTTACGAGGCGAGAGTCACCCCTGAACTCCATGGAACCTTGCCACTTGATTTGGCAACATCCTCATCTGGAATCAGCTCCGCAAGCATGGCTCCTCTAAAACCACACGGGGGCGCGCCAGTCCGGGAACGATATTTATGGCCGGAGGGACGCAACTCCGGAGATCCCAGGCCGGTACCCGAGCTCAGGACTTGGCCAGCCAGGTCCCAACTCTCTCATCTTCTCCAGTCCTTTCCTTGCTTCCAGCTTGGACAGGACCGCAGCGGATCGCTGCCTTTTCCCACCTCGCCGCACTGCTAATAGGTCCTGCCGGGCCCAGAGGTGCTAGATGCGGGGCGAGGCGGGGTGGGGCTCAGATTATTTTCTCCTAAAAGTCTCCTCCAGATTTTTTTTTTTTTTTTTTTTT